GTCCAACGGTTTGGGAGTTATTGGCCAAAAACGAAAATTTGGAAGAAATTGAAGGGGTACCCCTTGGAAAAATCTCGGAAAAATCGAAAATTTTTTTTTGTTGTTTATTATTAGCAATGTTCTTCCGACGTCTGATTTCTTTTTAAAAAATGCATTTCTAAAGTGCATAAACTTTTGGGATTGACTGTATAGCCAATACATCCTTAATCGATCGTCTGATACAAACAGAATTTTCTCTGTAAATGGTACGTCTTGTATTTTAAATTATTTTTCACCTTATCTTTCTTGACTGTTCGATAGGAGTGATAAAAAATTTGTAGCTAATTAAATTTAAGCTATTTGCTTTAAGAAACGACGAACGGCATTTTTTAAATAGAACCATGGTCGCGCGGAGTCAGCTAATACAAAACAATTTGATTGTCTTGGCCGCAGCCAGTACTTTTCCCACCTTCTGTCCGAATCAGAGAACAAACAGAAGACCGTGGGAACGATACCGTAATTTTCTGAATAAATAACAAAAATACATACACAAATGTGTAATCAAATTATAAGGCAATTAACATTTCCTCTGTTTGACTTTTCAACAAATACATAAAACCAGCGTTTCAGCAGAAAATAACGTTTCATCGTCAGAGAAAACATCTCTGTTTTAAAAATTCGAAAATAACGAAGAGGAATTAAAATATAAAATTGATAAGAGAGAATTACGAATAAAGTTGACGTTGTTACAAAGCGGAAATTTTAAATGGAAAATCGATAGAGTCTCCCAAGATAATCGAGTTTCTTGGCTTAAATTTTCCCAGAAGAAAATGACGTTTTCGAATAAATTTGTACGCCGGGTTACCGAACGGCACGGACGAGTTTGAGAACTGACATTAAACAACGTGCTATGGTGGTAGGGTATTGATCGACACCGAGACACGCGTGTGCGCTCTACGAACCGCCATGTTTGAAATTCTATGTTCCAGCTGCAAGTGTAATCTGGCCGTCGTTGCATTTCAAGAACTCCACGTCGAAGTGACCTACCCGATGTTCATTTTTGTTGCGTCCCTTAAAATCTCATACCGACGCGAGGATCAATTGTCCAATAACTGCTTTCGATTCGAAGCTTCCTTTTTCGCGGACATACGACATTCTTTTATTGAAATTAAGAATGATCATTTTTTTAATCAGTGAAACCGATCTTTCTTGAACAAAATCTAATTTCACCATTGTCTTCATTTGTTTTTAATACAAATTCTATTTACTTGATACAATGAAGTATTACTTGCTGAGAGAAAAGAAGCGAGATTTAACGAATTTTCTGTATCTCGTCTCCATCTGTCCATCCATAATGGAACGATATTAATAGAAATGATTCGTGGAATTTATTTTATAACACGAGGTTCCAATATCTCATACATGACCTCGATGAACGTTCCGCAAACACTATTCCATAGCATCCAATGAGTCATTAAAAGTTCCTACGATAAGATCGCCGCGTGCGCGTCGAAACTCTTGTCCGTAGTTTCCACGGATCTTCGCTTGCTCGCGCCATGATAGCGGAATCTCGTTTCAATCTTTCCTCATTGATTAAACGCAAAATTCTGACTGTAATTTCAACAATATCAAGAACCGTTTCAAGTTTGATTGCTTTTCCCTACCGAATTCAATTATCAACAGAATACAATCTTGTATTCATAAGAAGATTCATCTCCGTTCTTAAAAGCTACAAGATTTTGGATCCTGATACTTTTAAATATTAACACACTTCGGAGCTTCATATATAATAAATTACCTGTTCTAAAATATAAACCAAATAGCAGAATATTTCTCGTATTAAAATTGCAGTACTTCAATCTGTACTATAATCGAGAAATGATACGTACGTGTATTGTTCTTGTAAGTAGACACGATTGAACATGATATTACCTACGTAACTATCAAGCAAACAGCATTACATTACGCTTTCCACGTTCGTGCTTCGCTTGATAGCGAACTTCTCAATTTGCTGACAGACAAAATTGTTCTGCCGCGCAGCGGAGTTGCACACACGTCGATTCATGGTAATAATTGATAAAGCGTATAAAGTTTCTCAGCGTCGCGGCGCGGCGCGTCGTCGCAGATTGGGTAGGCAAGCCGCATTTTCCTATTGGAACGTGCACAAGTGCACAGCATCGTGGGTTGATTTATATCGCGCCCCGCGTTCGACGAGCTTTTGATATCTTTGTGGCGGGCAGAGACCGGTATC